CCACCACCCCCCGCCCCGCCCCAGCCCCTTAGCTGGCCTCCGGACTCTACCCGTAGCCTCTTCTTTACCCTGCCACTGCCCCACACCACGCTGTATGCCATCACTGCCCTTACAACTGCCTGTCTGCCAATTCTTCAAAGTCTGGCATCATCGGCCTCGCAGCCCTCAGGCACCTCCATCCCCTGGGAATGGCGCATGCCCAGTTCACTGCCCTCTGCCTCCCTCCTATCTGTGACATGCCACAAGTTCCAGCCTCCTTCCCTGCGCTGCTCGCCCCTACAGCCCCTCGGCTCTGGCACGGGGGCCTCATGCTACGCTCGCCCCAAATGCTCACACACCGCCACCAGGACTTGCCCCTCCAGACCTTGCCTGAGTCCCTGTCACGCAGCTGCACAGGGGCCCGTCCGCCCGGCTCGTGCAGATCTGCTCACATCCTCCGTTGTCCTCACACCAGTCCGATCCTGGGCACAAAGAGCAAAGGAGGACACCTGAGCGATGCTCCCGCACCCCAAGCCCCTGACCCTTGGCTGCCTAAGACCCACGCTCCCCTACTCTCTGCTATGACAGCAGGGCCTACAGGAGCACACCCCTCATTGCTGTCTGGGCACGCCCTCGCATCACACAAGGCGTGGGGACGACGCTAGGACCCAGATAGGCTCCCGCCGTCCCCCAAGACCCCAAAGCAGTACCGAGTCTGATGCTCACAACCCTCCGAGGGCCTTTCGGGAAGACAAAGAGAGCACCCACAGCACAGGGCCATGTGACCAGAAATGGAGTGCCCCACAACACCCCGGGCTCCTGCCGCCCACCCATAGGCCCCTAGGAACACATGTCCCTGAGTGAGGAGGACCCTCAATACAGCCCACACGACCTCCACCTTCACCTGTTGGCAACAAAAACCCCCGGAGCACTCTCTTGCACTCACCCTGATTCCTGCTCAAAGGAACTGCCTCTCCCCAAAGGACACGCACACTCCCTCACCCCAGTGCCCCAGGATCCTGCCGTGACCAGGCGCTGCCCCAAGGCACGCCACCAGGCTCAACCCAGATGGCGGACAAATCCCTGCAGCCTTCCTTGGGGTCACGCACACTTACGCTTCCTTCTAATAGGTCCCACCGAGATGATCTGCTCCTTGGGCTCCTCAGTGAACACGCTGGCCATCCTTGTGTGCTGAGGGCAGTTCTACACAGGGATAAACGCCGCCTCCGTTGCTCTCGGCCCCTGCCCAGGACCCATCCGCACCCCTCTGGCCGGCCCGCCTCCCAGAGGGACCCCCGACTTCACCCCCATGCGACCAGGCTCAGAGAGCTTGGGTCCTGAGGCTGGGGTCTCCTCCTGGCGCCTAGAGGGACGTGCAACCCTCCCGACCCTGCCCTCGGGGCTACGCCTCCAGCCGCTCCTCTGCCACCGGGTCAACGGGGCTCGCCACGCTCTGCCGGAGCCCTGCAAAGCACGCGACTGATCCCTCGGCACTCGCCCCACTTACTATTTTGCAGGAGTATTTCTCTGAATCACAAAGTGAGACGGCGCAGTGGAGGTGAACTTCGTCATAATCCCCAATGAACTTGAAGACAGTGACGTGGAAGCGACACGTCAACGACACCCCATTCTCCTCTATGCCAATGGTGTTGTCCTTCATGTTTTGGCACCTGCGCAAAGCACCGATACTCGCCTTGGACCTCCAGTGATCAGGACCCTCCCTCAAAGGACGCCACTTGCCCGTGGGTCCCGTGGCATTGCACTTAGATCCCATCGTGCCTGCCTCTTCTTGACGAGGGCATTGCGCCCTGCCTCTGTAGCGTGACCTCTCTCTGGCACGCCCAACTTCATTGTGCTCCCGCTTCCCAAGATGCCTCCGCCGAGTTCCACATCCCCCCGTCTCCTACGGACACCTTGACACCCACACCATCGGTGACGCGAGGAAGGCCGCTACTCTCTGCAGCCGGGACTCGGCTGCACGCGGGGCCTCCAGCTAGCTGTATGCTAAGCGAAGTAACTCCCGCGCTAACAACACGAGCTGCCCTGTTCCCCGCCCTTTCCAGATCTCGGTCAGCCGTCTCGCTGACTGAAAGGTCCCCTGCTCCAACTGATACCGCTGCTCCTTCGAGCACCCTCCCCAACAGACACAACAAAAACCAACAGGGTGTGCTGGGCCACCTGGCCCGTGGTCACTCACCCTCCCTCGATGATGAAGTAGCGCAGCTTGTCATTGCTGTCCCGTGAGGGGGTCGCGTAGCACTTGTTCAGCATCAGGATCAAGTGGTTGGAATCGGCCCCAACGACAAAGACCCCCACGTAGAGAACATCCCGGGTGGTGAGCACCACCTCGCCCTGCCGGTAGGGGTGCTTGTAGGAGGAGTTCTTGTACAGGGCCATCTTGGTCGTGAAGCTCCCTTCCTGCGTCGGCACCGTCAGGTTAATCACGCTACCGATGACCCCCAAAAAAATTAAATAAAATACCAGCTCGGACAGAGGAAAGGCTACAAACCGCTGACTCGGTGCCTCGCTTCAGACCCTCACCATCTCACCCTCCTAGCAACAGGAGAGGCCACGTGGCTCACCCCGGCTCCTACCTGAGCATCGGCCGCACGACCGAATCCAGGGAGATCTTGATGTCCAGCTCGTAGGCGCAGGAAAACTCCACGTTGATGGTCCGGTCTCGGGTGATGATGTTGCCTGTGTTGTTCGCACTCTCGATCCACACCGTGTTCTTGTACACAATATGTGTACTGTTCGACTGCAGAAGGAACACAGGGCTCAAGACCAGCCATCTCGGCTCCCCTGCTCCTAACGAATGCCTCGGACCATAAATGAGCCGTGCGATGCCGAGGGCCCTGCCGCCCCTCTGCCGCCTCTGGCCAGAAAGGGTACGGTACAGCAGGGCTACGAACTGCCGGGCAGTATTCTTACTTTACAAGACCTGCCTCTGTTTTCCCTGACCCCCATCCCATGATAGCACCTTCCCAGTATCACTCGCACTGACGCACTCCCCCACCATGACCCCAGCGTCGAGCCAGGCTGCTGCCGCTGTGGAGGAGGACTACCCGGCCGGCACAAAGCTGCGCTGCCTCGATGCCCCCATGCCAACAAGTTCCTCACATATGTAATGTCTCAGAATACGCAGGCCGCCTTCCTCAGCCTCCTAACTACTCCTCTGCTGCCTCGTGCATCCTCTGGACCAGGACACCAGGCACCAGCTGACTTTCAGGTCCCTTTCACTCCATCAAGCCGCCTCCCGAAGGCACGTTCCCCCCCGCCTCCTTCGCCCTCGAGTTTACTTGAATGAGAAGACACCCAAGATGAACGGCCCAGCCCTTGCTCCCAGCCCCGCGTGCCATGTGCCCCGGCTCACCTGCACCACGTTGCCACAGTTGCCCTTGGTGTTGTTGATCTGGAAGGAGATGAAGTCCTCCCCTTCGATGCCGGGACAGTGGCGGTCGTTGACCCGCACCCCCTCCCGCTCGAAGCCCAGCTGGAACAGCTTGCACTTCGAGATGGACACCTCCATTTGGGCAGCTTTGCAGGTCACCTCTGCGTCAATGATGTCATGGGTGGCTAGAGGAGAAAATGAGACAGCTTCAGAACACCACAAATGGCACTGCAGGCCCAGGCCACCAGCCTGCCTGGCCATCCTCCCCGCTGCCAGCAACAGGCTGGGATGGTCTCCTGCAGCGCGTCCTGCCCATCCGACGTCCCTGCTGCTCAAAGTGCTCCCGAGCCAGAGACGCCCATAACACGTGTTCCAGAAGACCTTCTCCCTGCTCCCATCCTGAACCATGCACGATCGTGAAGCCCGTCTCAGCAGAGGTCCCACAACTCCGCACCTCCCTTCCCGAAGCCTCGGCTGTACCACGGCCTAACGCGCGCCCACGCCGCTTGGTGCCAACCCTGCGGCCCGGACCGGAGGACTCACTGTTCCCATAGGGCGGGGGCTCGATGCAGCCGCACA